AATTTGTCCAAATTAAGTTCTTAGCAATGCATATTACTAATCAAAAATTAAGTTTTGATATATTTACGGTAGGACATTTACAAAATATCTTCATGGAACATGATCTTTACTTAATATCCTAATAATTTTTGGCATAAAAGAAAAATCGATAATTTTGACCCATACAATGTATTGTTGGCTATTGCTACAAATATACTCGTGCTACTTATGACTGGTTTTGTGGTCCAGGGTCACATTTATACAATTTACATCTCTTTTTTTTTTACATCTCATCTACATTGGCACTATTGTCTGGTCGTTTTTATTTCGTAAACACAATATGACTCATTACTCATGCATGTTGCTGGACTGTTGTCTCAGGAACGTGTATAAAGACTACAGGCAGCTTGAGTTGGCTTGCGACACTCAGGAGGAGGTGGACAGCTGGAAGGCGTCCTTCCTACGAGCTGGAGTTTACCCAGAGCGCATCACTGTACGTGAATGCTTCCACTGATCATCTCTCAGTCATATTAACTTATTAACTCATTACTGTGCTGCAACAGCTACCACATGTATAACCAGTCACCAATGCAATTCTAACAAACATTGATAGCTTACTAACTTAATTCACTTATTGTGCTTTCTTTGCTACATCTGCAGGATAAAGAGAAGGTACGTTTTTCCTCTGACTGATTTTTCTCTCTTCCAAACCTGTCATATGCAAACATATTCCTCTCCGAATATCAGTATGTGTTGTATTTAACAAAATGATGGTGTCAACTCCACCACTGGTTGACTGTTGAGTACAGCGATCAAATCAACTGTGATCTAGTGATAGGATTTAATTTGCTTCATTATTCCACTCTTTGTTCCTCAATGTGTACCTAATTTTATTAGTGCCAGTAATATGTGAATATCAATATGTGTTGCTGGTCCTCAGCAGAGTGATGCTAGTGAGGAGAACGGCTCAGATGGCTTCACGCACTCCATGGATCCTCAGCTTGAGAGGCAGGTGGAGACCATCAGGAACCTTGTGGATTCCTACATGGCCATTGTCAACAAGACTGTGCGGGACCTCATGCCCAAGACCATCATGCATCTCATGATCAACAACGTAAGCTGTGTTTACCATGATGTTTGCTATCAAATAAGAATCATGTAAGTTTGTAATGTTTCTTAGACCTGCAGTTCTAGGCAAATACAGCTGGCACGGCACTTTTTCTTAGTCTTCTTCCTTACTTCCTCTTCCCATAGGCTAAGGAATTCATCCATGCTGAGTTGCTGGCTAACTTGTACTCATGTGGAGACCAGAACACTCTGATGGAGGAGTCAGCAGAACAGGCTCAGCACAGGGAGGAGATGCTGCGCATGTACCACGCTCTGAAAGAGGCCCTCAACATCATCGGGGACATCAGCACCACCACCGTCTCCACTGCCATGCCCCCGCCGGTGGATGACTCCTGGCTGCAGGTACAAGGAGGACCTTCAGGGCGCAGGTACTGTGTCAGAAATGTTTATTAAATAAGCAATGTTTTGATGTGAGTTTCAGTGTACACTTATTTTTTAATTAAGAATTTGAATGATATGGCTTTTCATTTGTTCAGTATTTCATACTGAAACAGGAAATTGAGGTGAAATGTATCAAAGATAATTTTTGAATAGCCAATTGCCTTTACGTTATCCTAGCCCAGTTAAACCATCATTTGTTCACAAAACACTGATTTTGATTTCATGAGGTCTTTAATATTTGTTTGGTATTGTCTTAATAGGCCTGTTTAAGTTTTATGGTTTAAAGTAGTTTTAAGATCAAAGTCGTTTTAAAAACATAAAAAGTTTTGAGGTTTTAAGTAGTTTTAAGACTGAAATAATTGTAAAAGCTGGAAATTGGGATGTTTTACAGGATTAGTTTACTCCAGAATTAAAATTTACTGATAATTTACTCCCCCCCCCCATCATCTAAGATGTTCATGTCTTTCTTTCTTCAGTCGAAAAGAAATTAAGGTTTTTGAGGAAAACATTCCAGGATTTTTCTCCATATAGTAGACTTCAAAGGGGACCAGTTTGAAGGTCCAAATTGCAGTTTCAATGCAGCTTCAAAGGGCTCTACACGATCCCAGCCAAGAAATAAGGGTCTTATCTAGCAAAACAATCAGTCATTTTCTAAAAAAAAAGAAATTATTTTATATACTTTTTAACCACAAATGCTCGTCTTTCACTAGCTCTGCGATGCACGTCCACGACTTCATGCATTATGTAGACATGTTGGAAAAGATTTGTGGTTGAAAAGTATATACGTGTTTTTTTTGTTTTTTTTTAGAAAATGACCGATCGTTTCGCTAAATAAGACCCTTAATCCTTGGCTGGGATCATGTAGAGCCCTTTGAAGCTGCGTTGAAACTGCAATTTGGACCTTCAAACTGGTCCCTGTTGAAGTCTACTATATGGAGAAAAATCCTGAAAGGTTTTCCTCAAAAACCTTAATTTCTTTTCAACTGAAGAAAGAAAGACATGAACATCTTGGATGACATGGGGGTGAGTAAATTATCAGAAAAATTTGAATTCTGGTGTGAACTAATCCTTTAAGGCCATGCAATCTGTCAGATAGATGTTTTAGCATGTTTTAGACGTTTCTAGAAGTTGCTAGCATGTTTTAACATTTTAGTTGTGTTCCAGTGTTAACATTTTAGTTGTGTGTTTGGTTGTTTTAAAGTCCCTACCCTTGTTTTTTATGGTTAATTATATAGATAGATAGATAGATAGATAGATAGATAGATAGATAATAATCTTTTTATTTTCTCATCAGATCTCCAATGTCTAGTCCCACTCCCCAGCGTCGGGCCCCACCTGGGCCCCCTCGTCCAGGTGGACGCACCGCCCCAGGACCCCCTACTGCTGGAGCACCTCCTGTGCCATCCAGACCTGGAGCCTCTCCTGACCCCTTCGGCGGCCCCCCGCCCCAGGTCCCCTCTCGTCCCAACCGTGCCCCACCAGGTGTCCCAAGGTGAGTCAGAGTGGAAGTTTATTCATTCAGTAATTGTGCAAAACATAATTACCTACCTGATATATAAACAAAAGTAATAATGTTCCAGTGTAATTGTTCAGATGGTGCACATGCAAATGAAAGGAGGTCTTTGAAATATTTAATTGAATTAAATACAGCCTAGTGGCCATAGAATGTGTTTTGAGTACTGTGGGGAGTAATACAAGTATTAATGGTGTTGAGAGCAATGATCTACAAACTACCCTCCATTTACACCCTTTACAGCCCTTCTGTCCTGACCTGATCCCTGGTCTTTAACACAAGAAAGACAGATCAGTAACACTCTTCCTGCTATTTCTACTTCTCTTGCCTGTCACAATCCATTGCTTTTTCTCAGCTCACACAGTCCAACTCAGAGACCTGCACTAACAAACCACTCACACATTTTTTTCAACTACGCTGGTTTTCTTTCTCCATCTCCTTGCCATGTGCATATTCATTCAAACATTGTTTTAAATCATTCAGTTCATGTATTGTTTGTACTGTATAGTAACATCAGTGCATCAGCTTTGTGAGATCATTCTCTCATGATATACATGTTTGGGAGGAAATTGTGAGGAAAACTCAGACCATCAGACCAGTTAAACGGGACAAACCATGGAGATGATACGTTTTTGCTTCCTCCCATTGCCTCTTTTCTGTCGACCCATGTTCTCCTCAAACTCAGTCCCACTAAATCCCTTCCACAATGATTCCGGTTATTGTTTCAGAATTTCTATCAGTGACCAATGAGGAGTTACGCAAACGGTATGTCCGACATATTGTCCTTATGTGACATCACCACGTCCTTGCATGGTTTATCTTTAAATGTGTTCACATCTGCTGTTCCCTAACACCTGTCATTCACTAGATATGAGTATACCAGGCTGTCTATTACTGTCAATTCATTTGAGTATTTTATTTTTCTAAAGTCCTAATTTAAACTATGCTTAGAACTGCCAATTAATTTTATAAGGAAGAGTTACCTGGTTGAACAACTCAGTCTTAAATGTATGTTATATATTTAGTTTCTTGCAATAGTTGTATTTAAGTTAACATGGTTTTAAAATAAATAATAATTTAATAATATATAATTTTTTTACTAATATTTAATTTAGCAATAGTTGTATTTAAGTATATTATAAATTAACTATTGTGACTATGTAATTATTTTGTTTTATTTTTATATTTAATTTAGCAGTTGTAATTTAATTTAACTTAACTTGGGGCATATAGATCCTTTTTAACACATATAGGTTTTTGACATATACTTGGTGTATGGCATGCTGTTTATGTTTTTGTGTGATGTGTGTTCCTGATACTTTTCTATTATTATAATTTAGCTTAATTTCTTTCTTTCTTAATTTTTTTTTTTTTTTACAGAAAGTATTTATTTGTGAGACTTGTTCACAACGTGCCAAATGTTCAGTAATGGCTTTGCTAACTTGCATATAGTTTATCATGAAACATCAAGCCCAGGTGAATTGGTTTAAACTGTTTTAATCCAAGTTTTATTATTATTTTTTGAACTAAATTATAAATGTATAGTCTGATTTATTATTCCTGTAGGTGTTTAATAACATGACATTAGTACTTCATGAATCTCTGATGAATCCACCTTGTGTGTCATACAGTATATGTTCATTTTCAGAGTTCATTGTTACTGCCTTTGTCTTCATGTTCTTTTGTGTTGTTCCTAATTGTGTGTCTTTCCCCCTGTTTATACGTCTGCGTCCATCAATCTGTCTGTTGTCATCTTTGAAGTCGGAGAGCGCCAGCCTCCCCCACCAGATCCAACAGAGACTCGCTCACTGAGCATTAACACTGGCGATCAGCAGACAGAGGAAAACACTGACCCCTCTGCCACTGTATCACATGCATGCACACAAGCACAGTCCACAAACATATCACATGTTTACTTGAAAGAGTATTTACTCTTACACAATATACACCAGGAATATTATAAATTGGTCTAATAACTGTATACCGTTCACATTAACATGAGCGCAGATGTGGTGCCATTGTATTCCATTACCAGCATATATCCTGTATTTAGGAATGAAGAGCACTAGTTATAAAACGCACAGGGATTGTCCATGTTCCAGTCTATTTCACAGTTTGCTTCAACATTTATGCACATGGATGCTAGATGACACTGGCATGTTTTTGCTTTTATTAGCAACAACTAAGCCTTAACCAGCATCTGACCAGTTCTTAACCCCTGAATAAACGTGACCTGCAAGTTTTTCTTAAAAAATACCATGTTGCTTGTCCTACTGCTTCATTAAATTCTATGTTGCAGTCATATTTCTTAACAATGAACAAGTTTCATCTTACTCTTCTGGATTTTTATATTGCCTTATATAAAACGGTTTGGATTTTTATTTTATTTTATTGTTTAATAATAAGCACGTTTTAACAAGTTTTTGAGATTCTCTGATTTAATATAGTCCCTATTAATGTCTGAATGTTATATTGCACCTTTCTGATATTGATTTACATTAAAAGCGTTAACAGTAAATCATACAAAAAAATGTAAGCGAGAATCGTTTCATATTCAGAACTGGTTTCAATTTTTAAAAAAATGCTGGAACTCAATTATGTTTCTCGATAATGATTCTCACACGTGCATTATTCCGCGGATGGAAAAAATATAGACTAATGTTCTCACAGCTGGAGCTGTTAAATTCAATCTAAAAAAAGAGAAAAAAATATTATATATTTTTCACATTTGTCATCACCATCACATTCACAAGTGCTAAAATTAACTTAAGTGAACAAAAACAAGCCATCATACTCACTTGACATGACAAACCCATTCTTTCTACTATCCATGCTGTCATTTCCCAAGCTTTTTTCCTTTTTTTTTGTTTTATTTGTTGTTCTTTTTTGTCTTTTAGCTGTCCAAACAAAGGAAGCCCTTCTCACAGTGAGAGTCCACATCCTTCATTTGACTCTTAGAGCCAATTGTCCTTCCTCCTCCTCCTCCTCTCTTTCTGTCTCTCCACTGCCTCTCTTTCTCTGTGCTTTTCCTCTGACCAAGTGCATCCTGGGATTGCTGAATGCCGAACGTTACTGCAGCAGCAAGTACGGATGAAGTGGCTGAAAGAGAAGTCAGAAAGATAAATGAAGAATGCGGGAAAGCTCATTCCCTCTGTCTGTACTATATACACTAATCACATTGTAATGGGCATCTGAATACTACGCCCAGTGTGGACTTGTGTCAACATACGAAGTCACTGCCATGTTAATTATACTGAAGATGCTGTGTGGTGTTTGTGTTTACACACTAGTCAATGTCGACTTGATCTATATAGAGGTGTCACACGAGCTAAAGGTGTAAGCTTACATTCCTGTCTGCACGCCAGTATACAGGATAGCGGATACACAAAATAAACTTCACGATTTTTGCACTTGTTATGTGGTACTGTGTGTGAATGTATTCTTCCTGAAAGTTTGAACGTTATTTGATCCCACAGTGTTTGTTTTGGCCACAATGTCTCTTGTATTTTCCCTAGCAAACTAATAAGTCCTGTCTGATTGAAATGTACATATATTAGCTGATATGAATTGCTAATCAGGGAAACGTGTGTAATGTAGTTCTCATTCACCTCCAGTCTCCGCTTGAGTCAGATGTTTAGGGTCAAAGTGTTTAGCGCTGTTGTGCTTGACTCACAGTGTGTGGCTTTGTTTATGTTAAGTGGGTCAGCAATACATAATGTAGTTGTTTCATCAATAGAAATACAGCAGGAGTGCTTTGGCATGAGGGAGGAGGTACATGACAGTAACAACTTGACTTTTCCTGTAATTATATATATTCTAATACCAGCCAAGTTAGCCAAGCACAGTGTATGTCAATGGAAGTTGTTTTTTTTTGCATTGCGAAACTGTGTTCTTTGCTTGACTGGCAAATTTTGTTGTTCTTTTTGTTTAGTTTTTAACAACTGTGTCAGTTTCTCCTGTTGTACCACCAAAATGTGATCTTTTAATACAGCATGTATGCACTGAAAAATGTATTTGTACTTACAACAAAAATATTTTTAGTACAACTTGTTCTCCAATTATATCTCTTAAATTTGGATTAGCAATAGAAAACCTCACCTTGCTTTGTAGTACGATGTCATTTCGCTGTTAAAATTGCTATACAATTTTCCAAATTAAAGTATTACATTTTTTCACTAAAACAATTTTAAGAAATTTGTTCATTTAAAGAAATCATTTCCAAGATCTCTCTGACTTGTTACTGTTGTGCTGATGGCCAAAGGTGTTCAAACTGTTTAACACAAATGAGTGCTTTCACATTATAATGGGCCACATCCCATCCTTGTTTAGCGACAAGCCCTTCTTTTGTTTTGCCTTTTTTGAGGTGTCACTTAATTGTGAACTGTTAATAGCTGAACAAGAACTACTGCAAAAAGATAGTGGCAATATTATGACATGTCTCCAGTGTAACTTATAATATATAAGACCATTTTTAGGTAACTGAAAACATTTTACTGTTAAATTGTCTCTTTACGGAAGGCTTTTGCACCTCAGAGTATCAATAAAAAAGAGTTAAAAAACGAAATACACTTAAAAATAAAGGTGCTTAAAAGGTTCTTCACAGCGATGCCATATACGAATCATTTTTGGTTCCACAAAGAACCATTAAGTCAAAGGTTCTTTAAAGAACCATGTCTTTCTTACCTTTTTGTAATCTGAAGAACCTTCTTTCGCCAAAAACAGAAAGGTTCTTCAGATGTTAAAGGTTCTTTATGGAACCATTTAGACAAAAAGTTCTTCTATCATGAAGTCAAATGGTGACATATAAAATCATATTGTGAGATTAAAAGACGGAAAAGATAGGAAAAAAAGATAGAAACTAAACAAAAATAACAAAATGTGCCAGACAAAGAAAACTGTTTTGCAAGGGGAAAAAACTGTACTGCGAGTCTGCGACTTCCATTGACATACATTACTGTGTACTTGGCTAACAGTCCGGAGGGAGAATGAAAAAAGTTAAATTCTTTCTGGACACCTGGCAACGTCTTCAGTGGTATAAAGACACTAGGCTACTGTGCCTCACTTGAAAAAAATAACCTAGTCTGTTAGTGAAGGAAAACAAGAAACACTTGTAGTACTGTAAAAACTTGGAGCTAAAACAATTACATACAATATGAGATACGTTTAAATAAAAAATAAAAAAAGTACACAAAAATATTTTTGGATGACTGGAGCCCAGCAAAAATATTGTAAAAGAAGGAATATAACTACTGTGCAAAGAACAGTTACTCCCTTGGGACAAATACTTTTGCAGTCCCCTTGAGTTTTAAACATTTGTGAAAATGCAGTAAAACTCCGTGCGTTTCAAATGCAGCTCTCGGATTGGTGGAGAGATCCATCCAGCGCGTCTGCAGCGCACCACACACACTTCCTCTTCAGAGCGGGATGGGGGGAGTTTCTGCAGTTTGAAAGTCCCACTCAGAGCTGGTAAATATAAACATAATAGCTGGGAATTTGTGTTTTTAAAGAAGATGGATTATAGCAGACAACACTCGCAAAATATGGACATCAGAGAAAGGTAAGTGTAAATGACATTCGGCTGTGGAATATGTTCGGGTACGTTTGGAAACGCCTACTGAGAAACCTCTAAATACAGACCGTTAACTAAGTTCACAGATTCCTATAAATATGCAGTGTAATATAAGTTGGCGCCAGTGTAAAGTTATGGCGGTTTATGGAATGACGGAACATGGAAGTAATCGTAATTGGTCATTTTATTGCTTAATTCTGCAGCTTGAAATGCTGTAATTTTTCAGGCTGAGTAAAACAGCTTGTAATCTCAAGCAGTACAATGGTTCTTTAACCCAGCCCATTGTGTCTATGATCACCGAAGCGCCCAAGCCACAAGTTCATGATTACACGATAAAGCTGTGAAGATTTCCTCTGCTGACAGAAACAACACTATTCATCAGCACAACAATTAATTACACATTATTTGGAAAGCTGAACGCTGTTTATTAACAAAACAATATACAGTGGCACAAAAAAAAAAAAGATATTAATGTCATTGGAATATCACTCGTATCTTAAAACACGGTATGATCCATGTTTACATGTACATTAGTAATCATTCATAGCATATTAGGAATAGTTTAACTATTACAGTCTATCTATCTATCTATCTATCTCTGTCTGTCATATAATGAATTGTGTTGTACAATGCATACTTGCATATTCACAAATTGTCTTTTGTATGTTTTTATGTCCTAAAACTCTGCCTACAACAATTTCCACCAGTCCTATTTCATTCTAGTAAAGATCTCAAACCAAGTGGAATCTTGAAGAGAAATCTGTAAACAAATGATGCTTAATTTTTCTGAACCATTTTTGCCTGTAATAATAAACAATAATAATAATCTATTTACATCACCAACTGATATGCAGTGATTTTTAGTGGATGTATGAAGTTCATACACGTGTCCTAGCATATAGTAACCAACATGTATCCATGTCAATGTATAACAATATACATATTTGATAATTTAAGACTTAACAAACCTCCGTTTGTGAAATGTATTGCATGAACAGTTAGCACTTGCAATCTTTGATTCAAATAAGCTTGTTGTATTCCTCAATTGTAAATCACTTTGGATTAAAGCGTCTGCTGAATGAATAAATGTAAATGCAAATATGCTGCGTGCTTTGATATTTTTTTAATCAAGTGCAATGACATCAATACGTTTTTTAATCATTTTGAAATTCCAGTTATTAGAAGCAGCTGTATTAAATGTATTAGAATTCAAATTTGCAGAAGTAATAAAACATACATTCTGAGTACAATTTCAACTTAGTAAGATGCAGTTTTGTGTGCTGAACTGTGACCTCTGACCTCCCACGGCTGCAAGCACCTGATATACTGCTGGGCTGTCAGAAGGGATTTCCTTCAGCATGTTCAGAAAACCTTAATTAAACCTAATCATTGACACTCTTTCTGAAATGTTATTAAATCATTAACAAATTAACAAGAAGTCAAAGAAGAACACCAGCCTCATACATCAAATTCATGTTAAAGTAGTGTGACGTTTATGTCAGTTTAGCTCTGGCAACTCTTGACAGGGCTTCTTCATTGTTGGATTTAATCAGCTTTTTTGAGTGAATTAAGATAATTTGAGAGCTTCCTGCAGGGTTCGCTTGTCTATCACTCTGTCATCAGAATTCATGTCAGAAGCGAGTGCACTAACCATGTAACACCTCCGGCTGTGCCCACAGGAACAGACTTCACAGGGAATCTCTTCGGCTACAGGATCCATTCCTACCCAGGGGGCCGTCAACAAAGAAGCCGTGTAGAGAAAGAACCAGGCCTACAGACAGCAGAGAGAGGAGATCTTCAGTGGCACACATCAGATCTGTCAGGGACAAAAGGCCATTGGCCGTGAGCCAGCAGGCAAAGTAGAGAACTTAAACACATAAAATGCACATGAATGGAATGCTTCTGTTTAATGCTGCATGACCGTATCAAAACAAACCACACAACATTAACCACTGTCTACTGATTAACTGTTACAGCAGACCAGTGCAATAATGCATGATCCATGTGCTATAATTTATGTTAGCAGTAATTAATGACTATGTTAACAGTCACAAAGTAATATCAAACAAATAAGAATAATAGAATCCTTCACGAAACAAAAATGCATGGCAATATACTGTAAAATATAATGCAATATATTTAATAATACATTTCCGACTAACTACTGTATATTATATTTTGTCTTATATGCATGGACCAGTATATATTGATGTGTTTAAAAAAATATACGTAGAAATGAAGACAAAAACGGCACTACATTTTTTCATGTAGTACTGAAACACTGAATTTCTCTTTCATGATTTATCACATGGTTTTACATAAAGCTGAGCACAAATTCATAAACTTTTATGACTTCATTGTTTGCATAGTTACACATTTCATATATGAAAATGTTATGGTATGTCAGAAAAAAAGTGTTTAACATTTTAGGATTTTTCAATATATATAAAAAATGGAAATTCCTTATGTATTATGAAATTATTATTCTTTATATTTTCAATATACATATTGATCCTTAATTTATACGGAAATATATATGTAAGGAAAGCCAATGAATAGTGGGGATTACAGTTAAGGAGCTCATACATCTATTCATATAAACTTTGTCACATATTTATATCATGTAGACCAGTGGTTCTCATTTTTTTGTGAGTCACAACGCAAAAATGGGTTGCAGATCTGTTCTGATAGGGTGAAAAAAACAAGTGCTGAAGTTAAATCAGTTTAGAACTGCTTATGTAGACATGCATTTTTCTCAGTTTTGTTTCATCCTATGATTCCTGCAGTCTCAGTGCTGTTAGACCTGCTGAGAGGAACTGGGGGAAAGCTGTCAGCCAAAGTTCATCTGCTCAAGTTAAAGTGGCCTCAGTGGTCAAAACTGCGGTAAAGAACAATACAGAATCTGCACCCAGAAAGAGGAGGAAAATTCACCCGTCTGGTTTCAAAGGAAAAGGTGAGTGATTGTTCATCTGATTACACATTAGAATTAAGCTCCATTCTGATGGAGATGCACGGATAATTAAACATTCACTGATATTGTGCATTATGTGCCACTAGATGGCAGTGTTGAAATGCTCAGACCAAACTAATCTTTCCGTAAAGTAACTGTTTCTCTCTGCACAAGGAAATAATTCATGGAGTTTTCAGCCTTTTTCAGACTCTTTAAAAACATTTTTAGCTTGATAATGATAGATTATCAATGTACTTTAAAATCAGTTCACATAATACAATATTTCCATATTTTTGAAGCATATCCTATAAGACCACACACTATTACCATGGTTAAAATAAAATAAATATATTAATTAATTAATTAATTAAAAAATTGTGGTCAGTAAGGTTTTAAATACTTTTATTCAGAAAGGATGCATTAAGTTGATTGAACGTTATCAAATAAATAAATACATACATACATATAAATGTACACTACAGTTAAAAAATGTGGGGTTTATTCAGCTTGAGTGCATTACAATTATTAAAAGTAATCATTATTAAAAATAAAAATTTAAATCAATTAATTAAAATTGTGTGTGAGATTTTGGGTCCCACCACACATTTTTGTTTTGTTTGTTTAAATTTTGAACGTATAAATACTGCATAATACTGTATACATTTGACTCTGACTTTATTAGGACTATCATGTCTCCAGTCACTATCAATAATGTCTGATGGTAGTCCATCAAGAAATGCCCTCTTAAAATGACAGAACAGTTATGTATCACACACAGAAAAACAAAGATCTGGAATTCAGGAATCCCATCTCACAAATCGAAAGAAAATGTATTTTGTTACTGTCTGTTGGGGAGACAGTAGAGATAATGGCTGAATTAATTCGACTGAAATCCTGCATGCTCTGCACAAGCTGTTTATTGTTATTTTTATCTGTGTGGATGTTGAGTTGCATGCATTTTCCATGGCTCTCCCAAAGGAGACCAGGAAACAGAGCTTAACACAATGCTTTATGCTCTCAACATGGTTTTGCTCTTACAGAGGGATGCATTGCCTACTATACACAGCCATATGATGGATTCATCATGGGGTTAGTTAGCATGATTATACAGCAGCCCCAAATCACTATTCTTATTTTCCTTATGTTCATCAGTGAGATCTGTGAAGTAAAGATGTAACCTCTGGAGAGCGGTTGCTTTATCCTGGAATTAAAGAGGCAGTGACTGTTTGATTTCCTGTTGTGTCAATGAATGGCTCACTCAGATTAAAGTCCTTTAACGGACAAGAACAAAGGATTGCCCTCAAGACTGCTTTTAATATCTTTTTTTCCAAGAACAATCACATGTATTTTCAGAATATATTCTTAGAAAGTGGCTTTCTGTCATCACATTTTTGTTTTTATAGCTGGAGTTATAAAAAGGGCACTAGGCCTTTTGAGGATTTATACATATCACATAATGATTTATTATAAATACGATTTTTGCATGGGATCATTTAATGTTGTCTCTATGTTTTTCAAGTCCATGACAAACACTTTGCTATAAAGAACTCAGAAGTGTTTGTGAGCTGCTTTCAAGTTTTGTTGTTGTTGATCCAAGTATATATATATTAAAGGGATAGTTCACCCAAAAATGAAAATTTGATGTTTATCTGCTTACCCCCAGGGCATCCAAGATGTTGGTGACTTTGTTTCTTCAGTAGAACACAAATGAAGATTTTTAACTCAAACCGTTGCAGTCTGTCAGTCATATAATGGAAGTGAATAGGAATCACGGTTTGAGAGTCAAAAAAACATACACAAACAAAACCAAAGTAGAATCCCGCGGCCCATAGAAATCACTAGTCACTAATGAGGCATCTACGTATATATATCTATGTCTACTATGCCAGAGCACGTACACGCGTCACGCGCCGGATGTTGGGCATTACGGTGTAAAAGAGGTAAAAAATGATATAAATGCCCTGGGGGTAAGCAGATAAGCATCAAATTTTCATTTTTGGGTGAACTATCCCTTTAAGAGAAATAATATAACCGATCTCAGATCAGCACAAAGGGCGACCTCAGTCAAAGGTTTAGTTTATTATGAGTACAGCAGGTGGACTTTCCCTCCCTCCACACACACCCCCTTTCACTCGTTCAGTGCTGCTCTCTGACCAATCACAGCTCCTCCTGTCTGATCAGCTATTCAAAATGCAAGGCAGTTGAAATTTATGCTTGTTTTCTCCTGCTGTCCTTTATTCTCCAGTGGCAACATATGCATAGTGGCAGTTAAGCTCTTGAATAGCTGTGAGGCATCGCATCTGAATTCATTAACTACATTTCTGAGAATTCATGTGTGATGCGTGCGATTTGGTACGTTTTTAAAATCAGTCAAGCTGTGGTTTTACTATAACATGTTCTACTGAAGAAACAAAGTCACCTACATCTTGGATGCCCTGGGGGTAAGCAGATAAGCATCAAATTTTCATTTTTGGGTGAACTATCCCTTTAAGAGAAATAATATAACCGATCTCAGATCAGCACAAAGGGCGACCTCAGTCAAAGGTTTAGTTTATTATGAGTACAGCAGGTGGACTTTCCCTCCCTCCCCACACACCCCCTTTCCCTCGTTCAGTGCTGCTCTCTGACCCTACATTTCTGAGAATTCATGTGTGATGCGTGCGATTTGGTACGTTTTTAAAATCAGTCAAGCTGTGGTTTTACTATAACATGGACTGTCAGAAGGCACAGAAAGTGACACTGAGCTGTTTCAGGCAATGGCGGAGATCATCCTTTCTTTTACAAACTCATGGTGAGTCATTATTGAGCTACTGTATGTGTTCACAAATGATGCTTCAGTAGCATTAATCAACAAAAATCTTTAAACAATTACCTACAGTTTAAAAAAATAAATTTAAACCTATTTGAAATAACCTCATTATTACCAATCCATAATTCCAGACTGATTCTTTTTATTGAAATAAGCTACATGCTAGAAGTTTTAACTAATGAAATGGAATCAGCAAAATGTTAGCTAGATAACAAGTTGGACCTAACCAGTATGTAGACTGATATGTGCTAGCATTTTAAAGTTTGGAGCTAGTAAGATTCATGTTTTTAAAAAGCAGTCTCAGATCTTTGAATGGTAGTCTATAACTTATATGACAGTATAAGCACTCAAATTAGTCACACAATCATTCATTGTTATGAGTAACTTATTGAATTATTTGTTGTTGCTTTTTGTCTATTAGTTAATTTATTTATTTAAATCATTCAGTCAGTTTGTGGACCACTTTAAGTTCTTCACAGACCCCCAGTGGCCCATCAATCACAGTTTGAGAACCACTGATTTAGATGAAAAGATTTTAACTTTTGTTTGTTTGACTGCACTTGTCACAGAATTGTGGCAGAAAATTATCTGATGGCCACCAGGCTTTACTGCAGGTCTGGAGGAAATGTATGTGTGTCAATGCACATATTAGTGTAACACCAGCTGCCAAGTCAGGTTTTTGGACTTATCTGTTATGCTCTAATAATTTGGACTCTCCATTACACCTGTGAGTCCATGACAGGTTTTCAGATTCACGTTTGTGGATGTTTCCATGAAAATAAATAGACAAAATCAGCATATTAGATTGATTTCTGAAGGATCATGTGACACCAAATACCGGAGTAATGGCTGATGAAAATTCATGTGCCATCATATTTTAAAAGTAAAATTTTTGGCAAATTACAAATGACATTTTTAACATGTATTGAAATCGAAAACGTAAATTGTAATAATATTTCACAATAGTACTGTACAGATTAAATAATTGCAGCCTTGGTGAGCATAAGAGACTTCTCTCTGAAACATTAAAATATTATACTAGTTGGTGCCAGTAGCCTTGTGAGCATGTTCGAGTCCCAGCTTGTGGACCTTTCCAGATCCTGTCCCCCTCTCTCTCACTAGACTTCCTGTCTGAGTACTGTCTTATCATAATAAAGGCAAAAAGTCAATAATACATATATATATATATATATATATATATTATACTAACTTTTGACCAAATATTTATTATTTTTATTACTTGACTGGATATTAAATTGACTAGAAAAGTCAAGTCATGGAAGTTAATTTGGCATGTGGGAACCCTGTGTATAATTTGTATTTTTTCCCCACTGACTACAGGTCAGCTCAAACTGACAGTTACTCCAGGCAGCGGGTGGCTCTATGTTCAAAGTAAGCATGTTTGCGAACAGATTTTGTACTTTATAATTTTTGAGTTTTAAGAATTAGTTTTTCAAATAAGACTGCTTCTTATGTTAAAATCTAATTTTAATAACCCGGTTATACTTACACTTAATTCAAACAGGAAGTCTTACATTCATAATTCATTAAATGAGTTTCATTACTCATGCTCTCATGTTTTTATTAACAGTTTTGGAGGCCAGAGGACTCATGGGAAGAGAGTACAAACCATGTGACTCATATGTAAAGGTGGGCAATTTGACATATGCAGACAATATTTAGACGACACGTGAAGTCACGTGACTGAAAGCCTCATAAAACAACTCAAACCTGTTTTTCTCTTAGCAGAGAGGCAGCAGTAACTTTCCCGGTCACTGTTGGTGATGATGTGCTATTATTTTTGTCATTATTTGTCGCTTAATCCTCTGTGGACGTCTGCCCTTGAAATGAACCCGTTTTCATGTCAGCCTGAGCAGGTTTCAGGCATGAGAAAGCATCAGTTGTGTTGGCAGCTGTCCACTCAATTCCAAATTCAAGTGTTGATTGATTTTCCCTCTGAGCATGATGAATATATCCTCTAGCAATGTTAAACTAGTGGACTTAATAGCAACCACCAACACGTGTTTATTTATTCCAGATAAGTATTGCTCCAGATGTTGACCACAGCAAGCGATGGAAGACCAGGACCGTTCTAGACTGCAAGAGTCCTGTTTTCAACGAGACTTTTATGTTGTGAGTGATTCTTATGGTTGGCTACAGACAGAGCACTTGTATGATGGTGTTTAAAAAGAGAAAGTGAAGAGTGTCGTGTTATCTTATAGTTGAATAATTTATGTGAAACATCATGTGCTCTCTAACCTCTCGTCGGACAGCCTCTATATCTCAATCAGTCTTTCCGAAAGAGAATTTAGGGCTGAGTCTGCTGTCTCTCTTTTGTTAGCTGAAAAAAGGCTGTCTTTTTGAAGTCTTTGGAGGAGAAGGCCATTGTGTTTTTGGATGAAGCTGGACATTGATGGATGAGCTTTTGAAGTGTTGCATTTATGTTGCAGAGATGTGGATGAAGACGATCAGAAGAAGAGGCTGTTGTTAACCGTGTGGAATCGCAGTCGAACTTCCAGGTAGGACTTTATCATCTTTTTTCATTCACGTGTTGATTTTCTACATGTATACATCTGTAGATAGAGGCTATTTATGTGTACCATAAGTACAATTGTTCTAGTATGTATTTTATTTTCCCGCTGCAAAAGACCCTCAGCAGTGTCACAGTCACTCAGTACAAAATCAATATGTTATTGGCTGTGTTTTTTTATATCAGCAGCGTCACTGGGCAGCGAACGTGATCTAAGTGGGGTTAACCGATATGAATGTGACATGACTTTATCAGCAGTTCAAAAATTCCCGCCTGTTGTTGTGCTTTAGAGTGTTTGATTTTGCCCACAGGCGCAGTGACTTCCTGGGCTGTATGAGTTTTGGTGTCCACTCCCTCATCACCTCATCTAAGGTAAATATCCTGTTGTTAACATTTGCCCATAGCGCTTTTACCCTGCAATGCTTTGAAAATCATTTGGATTTGGATTTTTATCAGAAAAATGTAGAACAATTTACAGTAGTTGTAGTTTATTTTCTCCCAACACCCATACATTCATTCAAAAATGACAACTAAAAAAATGCATATATGCATAAACATATTTTATATTCATTTATTATCATGTTATTTTATAAAAGTCTCTTATACTCACCAAGGCTGCAATTGTTTTATCAAAAAATATAGTAAAAAAGTAATATTGTGAAATGCTATTACATTTTTATTTTAGTCAAATTTAAAAAGTAATTTATTTCTATGAGGGCAAACCTGAATTTTTATGATCCTTTAGAAATTATTATAATAGGCTGATTTGGTACTCAAGAAACATTTCTTATTATTATCAATGTAGAAAACATTGCTGGAACTTTTATATATTTTTTCAGGATTCTTTGATGACTAGAAAGAAATATAACAGCAAATAACTGTATTGACTTTAAATGACTTTATTTGAAATAAAAGAAATTGTAACATTATGAATGTTTAAATGTCACTCTTGATCAAATGAATGCATCCTTGCTAATTTCTTAAAAAATTGAACTGACCCCAAACTTTTGAATGATAGAATATATAGTATATATTTATGTACATGTGCTGAATTAGAGCGGTTCAGTAATTATGCACCATGAATGCTATTGTAAAATGTGACTGAAATGGAAAGCATAAAGTGATATATTAGTAAACAGATTTTACTTTCGTAGATGTACTGCCACGATCCATCATCCATTATTTACCTAAAACCTTCTTTCATTGTAACACAACTCAGCTTGCTTTATGAAAGATAGCATTTCATATTTATCAAAAGAAACGTTCCTCTTAATTTCATTCTCTTCTTGTCAAAGCATTTCCTCCACACCATCGTCTAATTACACAGTGGGGGAAGTGGCGACGGGACTGCTCATTGAGGCTTGAAAAATGACCTACAATTACCAAGAGCAGCACACTCAAACATGCTGGCATCGTGGCTTTATTCTGCATGCCCGCCTGCACAGACGAACGAGAAATATCCCATCTGAGATCCCTGTTCCTTTACATTATGTCCCGTTGTCAAATTCAAGAGTGTTATACTCATGTGTTAAGACAGTAAATCCTTTCTCAGAGGGTGATATTTGGAGAAAAATTAGATCAAACCCGATGGATGTTTTATATAACACCATGCCATCTGGCTGAGCGGGAGAGTAAAATGGGCATCAGCTGTTTACAGCTGCAAAGGTCTCAAAAACACACACACAAACACGGATACACGACCACCACAGGGCCTGATTTTAATACTCTCCCTATGAGGGATGCATCAACATGTCAACAGATATTGGAATTGCAAAAACTTGCAAAGGAAAGAGCATCTTCTTCCCATGGCTCTCTGTGTCTAATTGTGTTTTGCACATTTTCTGCTGACAGGAGATCAGAGGTTGGTATTATCTCCTGGGAGAGGAGCTGGGCAGGAGCAAACATCTGAAAGTGGCCTCACGTCGCATGAGACAGACCGCTGGTGAGATTCAACGCAGTTTCTCTCTCTCTTTTGCAGTTGGATCATAGCCACTTTCTGATAGCTTTAGCAGTGAAGATGGACAAATTCCACATGACAGTTTTTCCTCAGCAACAGTAGATCAGATGATAACGTCTCGGTTACGTATGTCAACATTAATAAATGTTATTATTGTAATTTTACTGTTGTTCTGTAAAAGAAAATTAAAAAAAGAAAATAATAATGAAAATAATAATTACAACAGCTCTATTAAAACATTTATTGTACCATTTACACAGTGTTCAGACTAGGATCTATAATGTTTTCTAATGTTTTAAAAGAAGTCTCTTCTGCTCAGCAAGGCTGATTTGTAAGGCAAAAATACATGCCTGATTCAAGAAGGGGGTCTAAAAAATGGCCAAAAAATATTATTTTACTAACTTATTAATTTTAAGTTAAGTTGTGTTTTATTGGTATAGTGTCTGCTAGAATGCTAAAAAATGTTCAATGTTAAGTTAATATTTTTTAAATTGTTGTTTTGTAAATGATTTTTTTCTTTGAAAAGCAAGACAAAACAGTAAAAAGCACATTTTGGCTATTTAATTTATGCAATGGTGAAAAAATTGGCAAAATGGGGGAAAAAACGTGAAAAACCGTGTTCGGTATTCAGCCTTCGGCCCAGTGTTTCATTTTGTTCGGCTTCGGCCAAGAATGTTCATTTCGGTGCATCCCTAGCTGAAACCAAGCAAGCTTTTTGCAGCGGAAGTTACTTTTGAGTCTGAATGGAATTTGAATGTTTTACTTCTCACCAAATGCTATGTTGAATTAACAAGCATCGCCTTGTACCTCTTGGAGGGATATAGAGGGCTCGGTGTTGAAACGTACAGCATCCCTGCGGAGAGCTGTAACAAAGAGCCGGGGGCCAGGGGGCCGACACAGTGTGCACTGTGAGGAGCTGCGGGAATAAGATGAGAATTAAAAGGTTGAAGCGTCATGATGTGTCTAAGTCAGTTTAAATCCACTTTAGAGATCTTGTCTCCCTCCCTCTGCCTTTCGTAATGACCTTTGCAATGAAAAAACATTCGGCGCAGTCATTTTTTTGTTTGTTGTGTGTAAGAGATCATCTTAATTATTGCTCACAAAATGAACGAATTTGCTCTTGGGGTGTGGATGAAATGACACGTGTCCCGTCAGAGAAATTCAGCCGAGATTAAGTTTGATTGGAGAGAGAGAGAGAGAGAGAGGTGCAGGAGAACAGAGAGAGAGAGAGAAAGAAAGGGGGCTTGAGTCAAGACACTGGGCTGACTTTAATAGAGAGAGCCAGCTGTATTGTATCCCTCTTGAATGCTGTTTCCATGAAGAATGTTTAAAAAGACATTGCTTCCTGGGAGCGTAATCTCTATGGTTACAAAGTGGGGGAGCCTGTCGCAGGTTGTCGGGGTGGGGGTGACGCTTTTAGGGGAGTAGATTTCTTTCTCTCTCTCTGTTGTGGGGCAGTCAGCTCTGTGTCACAGGGATTCAGCTTGAGTTCATCTCTCATGGTGTAGACACACGCACTTTCAACTGAAGCCTGCAGACAGCGTTGACCGGATTCTGTTGTCCTCTCTCTAAAGAGTGCTGGAGTAGAGAGATTTCTACCCAGGGCTAAGATGTACTCAAAGAGCAATCTGTATGCTCTGCTAATCATTCTTCCATTTCCTTCCTCTCTTCCCGAAAATCAATTTTTCAGATTTCATACTTGACTTTCCAGGGATTTCTGATTGGCGATGACTGGTTTTAACTGGAACATCAGTGATAGGGTGATGTAAGAGATAAACAAAGTATGGATTATGGTAGAGTGAAATGACTTGTGTTGGTTTAACACAGATCCTGCTTGAGAATAATAATGGATTTCGGAAATTTCAACACTGTTTACGTGAATCGAGGTGTAGTGCAAGGGCTGAACGGCCTCCACGTCTGTCAGCCTATGCTTGTCCAGCTTCTCATTAAACAAACATCGTACTTTAATGTCTCTGGCTCAAAATGAATGTTTGTGTTTACACTAAATCAAGCCTATCGGAGTGAGCTCCATCTCACTGCGCAGGGAGAGCGAGTTCAGCCACTACTGTTGAGAGCTACTCAGGAAACATGTTGGCTTATCGAGAGCAGACATATTGCCTGGCCACTGACTGGGGGGGTGGAAGGTGGTTTCCTGTCATTCTTCTGCTCAGAGCAGTTCCCATGAGTGGGCATGCATAGCCGCACTAGAGCGAGCGTGAAGGGAAGCAGCATCACCTGTGTGACTTTACTTTTATGTAAGACACTGAAGAGAGCGCCGTAGATGTAGGTGGACGTATATGCGGTGAGCGATGCATACGATCCACGGTCTGTGTCGGCTCTGCATCGAACGAAACTTGCCACAGGTTTGTCCCTCTGCTTTTTAAAAAAATTTTTTGGCTGTGGTTGTAGTGTTTTTGAAAGTGGTATAAGAGTTATGGCGTGTTCGGTCTGGGATAGTCCTCGTGAAATGTGTTGCATAAAATTTCTTTTTTTGAGATTAGAGTGCAGCGCTGTAGCTGAATGTTTAAAGATCCGAGCTGATTGAAGCAAGGCACTCAACCCTAGGTTGCTCCAGATTGGCATAAGACACTGAAGAGAGCGCCGTAGATGTAGGTGGACGTATATGCGGTGAGCGATGCATACGATCCACGGTCTGTGTCGGCTCTGCATCGAACGAAACTTGCCACAGGTTTGTCCCTCTGCTTTTTAAAAAAATTTTTTGGCTGTGGTTGTAGTGTTTTTGAAAGTGGTATAAGAGTTATGGCGTGTTCCGTCTGGGATAGTCCTCGTGAAATGTGTTGCATAAAATTTTTTGAGATTAGAGTGCAGCGCTGTAGCTGAATGTTTAAAGATCCGAGCTGATTGAAGCAAGGCACTCAACCCTAGGTTGCTCCAGATTGGCACTGTAAGTGGATTTGGCTAAAAATGCCATTATATTATAATGGTTGATCCTTGAGAATGATGAGGGAATACAGATTTGAGTTGCTGTGCGTAATGGAAAGGCTCAAGCACTGGAGCATCTCCAGCTCCCTAGGGATGGATGACTTCATCAATGAAAGTTAGTCAATATATGGCAGAAATATTAGAAATAAAAGTGGTACTGGGGTCAAGGAGGGATGCCGGATGACCAGTCACATGAGTGTGATAAGCAGCCGCTTATATATCCTTGTGATTGACAGGACTAGATGAAAAAGGTGACCAGATTTTTAAGTTGAGGGGTGGAGGGTGTGATTTCGTTGGAGGTGCCTATCCAGGTTTGTTTGTAATAATAGGAATAGCAGTAGTTACAAAAGATTTAAGATATATAGTTTATTTAATAAAGCAAGAGAAAATGTCTGATAATTTGATTGGTGCGTTACATTACTGTTGGTGTGTTTTAGCCGCCGCCTTAGCCTGTTTTATTCAGGTTTACATTTGAATGAAACAAATGCAAAGAACATAAAATGAATAATGTTGCAAATGTGTTTGTAAATGTTGACATTTAAATATACATTTAAATTCATTTGAATCAATTCTAATATAATATAATATAATATAATAAATACAATATAAAAATCATGTGATTTTTAAAAAATAAATAATGAATGAATGATGCATTTATATAGCGATTTATTGTGTATTTTTGTACACCCAAAGCACTTTAAAATCATGTGTTAAATAATAACAAATGTATTTGTAAATTTACGTATATATACATCAATTTGAACAAAAATTACCATACAATAGAATAATAAATACATTAAATCATCATGAAACCATAAAAATCCAAACAATAGAATAGAATCGAATAGCAACCAAATAAATTGATAGATTTTCTGAAGACTTAATGAAGATGAAAATCTAAGCAAATCAAGTTGCATGGACAAAGAAACAGCTTTCCTTATTGAGAACCACAAACGGTCCCAAACATGGTAGCTAGAGCATTGAGGATACTTAGTCAGCCAAAAGCAGGACATATTTACATTTTTTGTGAGTTGTAGGAAAACTGGGACAACACCTCATGAAATCAAGTCATCTGCTCCCCCTCTTATGTTTGAAACTCCATTTAATGATGAACAAGACCTTTCTGCTCATCATCTTAAACTGGATTATGGCATAATGAATGAATATTGTCATAACAAGAGCTAGTCCTCATTCAGTAATGCTATTACTTTGACTTCACTGATCACACAGGTGACTGTCCATGTTTGAACTTGAACTTGAACAACAACCAGGAGCAGTGGAAAAGGGAAACAGTGCAGTTTGATGTGGATAATTATTTCATCACAGCAATTAATGGAGCTTGTAACGAGGGCGACCACAACGACCCAGAGGAGAAAAGAGGAATGGCAGTGAAAGTCCTAAAGCTGTCATCACTTTTTCTCTTTTTCTCTTTTTATTCTCTCTCCCTCCCCAAACAAGGCTCTTTGTTGTTGTGCGGTCAATGTCATGTTAAATGTGAGACGCCCCCCTCCCCTTCAACATTTCCTATTTAGTTTGGCTCCAGGTTATATACTGTATATATATATTAAAATGTAATTTATTCCTGTTATGTCAAAGTTGAATTTTCAGCAACAATTACTGCAGTCTTCAGTGTCACATGATGATGATTTGTTGTTCAAGAAACATTTACTATTGTCAGTTTGGTAAAAAAAATGCACGTTTTCATGATTCTTTGATTAATATAAAGTAAAAAATATCAAACAAACCTTTTTAACAGATTATTAATGTCTTTATTGTCACTTTTGATAAATTTAATGCATCCTTGCTGAATAAAAGTATTGACATCTTAAAAAAATACTAACCCCAAACCTTCGAATGATCGTGTTTATGTATGTGCTTTTTCACAGGTGACCATTTTGAGAGGAAAAGATGGTTTTGGCTTCACCATCTGCTCTGACTCCCCTGTACGGGTCCAAGCTGTTGATCCAGGTAATTTTAAACACTCAAGAACTATCATTATTCATTTTGTCCTCATAATTTGCCAAGTTATTATAAAATTGTAGCCAGAGTAAAATTGTATTGCCAAGAAGTTGCTCCTTCATAGCACAAGAGACTTAGTAAATCTTAGTTATGTTTCATTTGAGTTATAACTTTGACTCAGATGTTTCTCTGTAAAATATTTCTGAGAAGTAAAAAAAAGCAAAACATTTCTAATAAAAGTATTTATATGGCACTCCAATATACTCAAATACCATGGTATTGCCACACTCTCAAAAAAAGGTGCATATTAGTACCTTAAAGGGGTCATATGACATTGCTAAAAAAGAACATTGTTTTGTGTATTTGGTGTAATGAAATGTGTTTATGCGGTTTATGGTTCAAAAAACACATTATTTTCCACATACTGTACATGAATGTTTCTCCTCTATGCTCCGCCTTTCTGAAACGTGTCGATTTTTACAAAGCTCATCAGTCTGAAAAGCGAGGTGTGCTCTGATTGGCCAGCTATCCAGTGTGTTGTGATTGGCCATCTGGCTCCAGGTTCTGTTGACATTTTGAACTTCTACTGTCCAAATATTCTGTGTCTGCTGTTTGTCAGTGCCATGGCAGTTCCCCCCCCCCGTCATTTCCTTTTCTTGCCAGGGAAAAAGAAAAGCCCCCTGATCACCCAGCAACCATGACTAATTTCTCAGCTTGTAGTTTTTAATATCCCTGACTCTTTGGTGCTATGGCCTTTCAGTCTTCGTGCTGCTGGGGTACAGTGGCGCTCTAGGGGGGATGTTTGTTTCTGGCACACACACTCTCTCTACACACACTCTCTCTGACCCGGTTACTGTGGGGTCTTACACTGTACTCCTACTGTGGATGGTCCATCTTCCTGAATGTTCCTGAGGTCACTTTGGGTACATAATACTACTTTAAGCTATTAATATGCACTTTTTAGGGGTAGATAAGGTAAAAAAAAAAAAAAAAAGTGTCCCTTAAAGGGAACTGCCCCAGTGACTCTGTACATTTTTACACATTTCCAAAACATAAAGGTACAAAAAAAGATAACACTTTAGTACTGGGTCCAATTCTCACTATTAACAGTTGCTTATTGGCATGCCTATTATTAACATATTGGCTGTTTATTAGTATTATAAAGCACATATTCTGCACGACCATATTCTACATCCTTAATCCGACCCAATACCTAAACTTAACAACTACCTTTCTAACTATTAATAAGCAGCAAATTAGTTTATTGAGGCAAAAGCCATAGTTAATGGTTTGCTAATAGCGAGAATTGGACCTTAAAATAAAGCATGACCAAAAAAACACTTTTGTGTAAACACTTTATTTGAATGTCTTTCTTACATGTATTTACTATGGTAACGAGCTTGAAAAGAGTCCGCACATTCAAACATTAAAGCATCACAAGCGAGATGAGAACGATATATGCAATTTACTGAATAAAACAAGGCAAACGTTTCGGTCACATGTTGACCACAATGCCAAGACAAGCGAGATGAGAACGATATATGCAATTTACTGAATAAAACAAGGCAAACGTTTCGGTCACATGTTGACCATTTTCAATGCCAAGCTAACAGTGTTAGAACTAGAAGCCATTACTATGGTAACAACAGTAAATCATGCATAATTACAAGCAGTAACCCTAATCCTAACACTAACCCTATAGTAAGTACATGCTATTGATTAATATTGCTCAGTACTTCAGTGTACACAGTTACACTGTAAAATAAAGGGGATACTTTTTTTAAAACTATTTATGATCTTGAGTGTCTTTGTCTATTTTGTTTAGGAGGTCCAGCTTACCAGGCAGGTTTACAGCAGCTGGACACATTATTGCAGCTAAATGGCCAGCCGGTTGAACACTGGAAGTGTGTAGACCTGGCTCATGCCATCAGGTGTGTTGGGATGTTTTTGGTCATTATTTTGTAGCCACAGGTTTCACAACAACTTAATAATCGCCTCTCATTTTTTAATAATAATAGTATAATGAGCTAACATTGGAACTGGTTCTTTATTTATCTTTATTGAACTGCCTTATTGTTAAAATCATCCTTCTTCCTGCAGGAATTGTCGTAATGAGATCACAGTGGTGGTGTGGAGGACAGTGCCTATTATGAAGCCTTACTATGAGGGGCTTATCCACAGACCTTCCTACAAACCTTCCGGATTTGATTCTCTCTCTTCAACTGCAAAGACACAAAACAAAACTCCACCTTTACTCTCTCGACCCGCCAATCACAAACAGGGTCGCCGTAAAAAAGGAATTGGCCCTGATAACTCAGGAAACGGAGTAGGAGAGTCATTGTGGTCTTGGACTGGCAAACGAGAAGAAAATGACTACAAAACACGCACACAGACCCTCAAAGGTACCCGTGTGACATCATCAAACGGTGACAACTACATCATCCTCTCTCCTGTCAGCCCTGGAAACCAGGTGGGAATCTGAAAGCAATTGTATTCATGTTCAATTTGAGTGGGGTAATATGTTGCTTATCTGAATGTTTAATGTTGCAGATATTGCAGCCAGTGTATTCTGACTCCAATTGCACCCTGGGAACTCTTGGTAAGACAGCCTATGAGAACGTTTTATATTTCTGTTCCACATGTTTAGGCAAAGATCTGATATTGACTAGTCTCAGATCAGTTTGTCAAAATGTCAAATTTTTGCATATGCTCTTTAGGAAAGAAGCATAAAAAATGTGCAAGAACAGTTATTGTGATCCCCAAGTGTTGTGATGAAATGAGAGATGGCAGTATCATGAGGCTCATAACCATAGTGAATGATTTATGTGTTCATAGTTTGGTCTCAATAAGATATATTTTTAAAGAAATATATTATTTATTTTTCAAAGATTGATTGATTTGTTTTATTTTTTAAAGAATGCATTAAATTGGTCAAACGTGACAGTAAATACATGTATAATGTTACAGAGAAATTCTGTTTTAAATAATGCTGTTCTTTTTAACTTCCTATTCATCAAAAATCATGGTTTCCACAAAAATATTAACTGTTTTCAACATTTATAATAAAAATAAATTTCTCAAAAAACATTTTTTTTTTTTTAATTCAGCTTTGCCATAACGGAAATGTAACTTGTAATAATATATCACAGTATTACCGTTTTTACTGTATTTTTGAGCAAATAGTCTTCTTTAAAAAGGAAAAAAAAGAACCAAGCCTAAACTTTTGAGGTCTTTGCATGCTAATCCAGGGTACTTCAAATAATAACATGGTACTGTACGTGTACAAAAAAAAATCATAATAGTGTGGTACTATAGTTTTTGATGCTATTTCATGTCGATTCATAGGAAGAATCTATCAGACTAGCAGAGGAGTGCAGCAGAGCCCAGACTACCTGCAGAATGGGGGGCTGCAAGCACAAGCCACCTTGTGCAGGTCTATAAACAGTAAGACCACCACCTTGCCTCCTTCATCCTACAGACAGAGCTTTGCCAACTACCAGAACTGCACCATCGTCCAGTCCCACCTGCCTCACTCCAACTATGGCACATACGTCAGTCTGGCCCCCAAGATTCTCATCTTCCCAGTTTTTGTTCAGGTATGTTCACTATCTGTTTATCTTCCAGGTTTATTATGTAGTCTTTGTACATGTTTTATTGGAAATATTCATGCTAGAGGTAAAAGATCAGTGGTTTGTGTTATTAAGTGTATCATACAAGTCTTATCAATAACAAATATTAATTATTGGTTAAAATCTGTATGAATGTGTAAGTAAGAGTGTGTTTTCATATGTTTCCCCCATTTTTAATAATCTTTAGCTTTTTTCTGTGGTGTGAGAAAGAATTTTCCTCATGAAAAGCTGCTTGTATAATAATTACGTGTTTTTTAAAACAAAAATGTTACTTAAAATTAAAATAGTTGAAGTATAATATGCCACACCACAGCATACCACTCTCACTGCTTGGCATTTCATGCCAATTTAATGGCCAGTGTGCTGTTATTATAGTTCATCTAGGATGTGTTGTACTGATACACAGCTTTCAGCAAATAACATGATTGACATGATGCATGCACACAGTGTAGCTGTAATGAGTCTTTAATTGCATTGCAGCCACTGGACCTGTGCAGCCCAGAGAGAGTCCTGATGTTGTCAGAGGAAATGATCCTTCATGATAGTAAACACACAGCTCTTAAGGTAATGCCACTAACTCACACTCTCCCCAGAGAAAAATGTGTTGCTCAGAGGTTGTTGTTGGTGTTGTTGTTGTTTAATTAGGGGAGTTTTCTGTTGTATTTAATGATCACATTTTTCATTTACATTTTAACAAATGTATTTATAACTAATGAGACAATTGTTAGCACATAATAAGACTATACAGCCATACAAATAATATGGATGGCATATCCTAAATAATTTTTTGATGAGAAATGTTTAGGTTCATATTGCAGGGTTTCCACGGGGTCTTAAAAAGTCTTAAAAGTCTTAAATTTAGTTGTATCAAACTTAAGGCCTTAAAAAGTCTTAAATTGTACAATAAAGTCTTAATTATGATTTGAAGAGGTCTTAAATTTGGGGACGGAAAGACCAGAATTGCGATATAGCAGAATGTGATGATTAAACTTCAAAAAAGGCTAAGATTTCAAAGTTCAAAGTCCGTGCTGCACTGCTTTGTGTTCTGCTGTTACCGGGGAAACAGTGATATTTCAACCAAACACGCCACCTGCTGGCAGAGAATAAGCATTTTCAAAAAGCCTGTTGTTTTGTTCAGAGTTCAGACCAATGCGAAAATCGGCCCATGTTTTTACCCTGCAAACACGCAGAGCTTTAAATATGAACTGGTGTATCGATAAGAAGACAATGCATTATAAAAATCTAAACAGTAGGGTGTGCGATATATATGGTCTGCGAAAACACACCTACAGAGTGCACAGTCTGCACACATACATTAGTTGATGAAGTCAGTTAATATAGGCTAAACTAGTATGCGCATTTAGAGTGCGTTCTTTCGCTGCATGAATCGGTCTATTAAAATGCATTTAGAATTATCACATAATTCAAGATATGGGGGCAGAAAATGTATATATTTATATAATTTCATATAGTTAATATCACACGAAGAGTGCCGTTTTTTTCTCCAAAAGTCAACATGATTACAAATGTGATATTGATTTTTTACAGCAGTTCAATAAACAAGAAGTTAAGAGACTTACATTTTAGACACCGTATTTCCTGCTTTTGCTCTATTTTGCCAACAAAAAGCAGCACTGTTTTGCATCTCTGAGCAACATGACGGTGTTTCCTTCCTGAATGAATCAAGCGTTTAAATGATTCGGTTCAATCGCAGTGACTCACTTATTAACAGTGACTTGCTGCCACCTACTGGCGATTTTAATTTCACATTTAAAGTATCTTTTCATTTTTTTTTTATAATTTTAAACATCAGTTTTTAATGTTTTATGTTTAAAATATCAAAACATTATTCATGCATTTGTAACTGCAGGTTAAAGTATTCCATGTCCCTCTGAGCTGCATTAAACAGTGTGTAAATGCATCTAAATGCCACTTAAGATGCAGTTTCTGTGTTTCCTCTGCATTGCAAAGATAAATTTTGCTGATACTGATTTCATTTGCTTGGTAACAACCCAAATGCAAGAATTTGACTCAAAAGTTGTTGCACACTTTAAGAGAAAAACGGCTTAAAGGTAAAAATGCCCATAAAACTTATTGGAAAAGATTAATTTCTATCACTGCTGTGAACTGACCACACAGAATATATATATATAAAAAAAAAAAATTCAGGAGTCAGCTGTCCACGGTAGTCCTTAAGATATCAGCACAGTAACACACTCAGCAAAATATCGTCTAATTATCGTTATCGATCAAATCCCAGAAAATATAGAGATATTTTTTGTCAATATTGCAAACCCCTCTTTTATAAAACTTTTTGTTTTTTGTGAAAACTTGTATCTGAACTGTAAATTATGCTTTTTACTGTCATTTTACAGTTTAATATGGTACTATAGACATTGCCCTACCCCGCTCATATGGTATTAATTTTATTTGTGCAGGTCTTAAAAAGTCTTAAATTTGCACTTAAAAATCCTGCAGAAACCCTGTATTGTGATTCATGACCTTTGATTGCAGACTGGTAAATCAGCACAATTTGTGAGATTGTTGAAAACTCTTCTGAGATAGAAACTAATCTCTGTTTCTCAGTAGAAACATCTAAAGCAAGCACAAATCTTCATTTGCTTTCCTTTTATTGTCATTGCTCTGTTAGAGAAACAATTAAGATATTAAAGGGAATTGGCTAGTTTATCCAAAAATGAAAAGCATTGAAAAATCATGATTTACTATCTACCATGAAACATAAAGAGAAGTTTAGCAGAATGTTTTTGCTGCTCTTTTCCATACATTGAAAAAGCAATTCTGTCATCATTTACTCACCCTTCAAAACTGTATGAGAAGATATTTTGAAAATGTTGGTAACCAAACAGTTGACTTTCATGCTATGGGAAAAAAAATTATATGGAAGGCAATGGCTACCGTCAATTGTTTGGTTACCAACATTCTTCAAAATATCATCTTTTGTGTTCAGCAGAAGAAAGAAATTCTGTAAATGATGACAGAATTTTCATATTTTGGGTGAACTATCCCTTTAAGCTATGTGATGGCTTTGTTATTATTATTTTATATTTGATGAATCTGCTAACATTCAATGCAGATTGCATTGTCATGTCCAAAACATGTAATGTTTTTACATTTAGTTTAACTATTGATGACGTTTAGATCCTTTTAAGCAAGTCCTTGATCTGGTTCCAGGAATCTAGCTTGAGAGACATACTGTCTAAAACATCTCGTCTTGGCTCAAATATGCAGAAGCGATTCTTGTAATGTCTTGTTTGTGGGCTCTGAAGGTGACCTAGAGCTGGTGTCCCCTTTCAGGAGAATTGACTATTTTGTTCGGTCAGATTTGAGCTCGTTCTCATGATACCCCTCTAAAAGCCTGCTAGTCCGGTGACCCTGATGTTTTCTCGAGATGGACGAAACACTACCTTTTCTATTAGATCCATTTCACTGAACGATCGTTTGGGAACTACAGGAATATTTGTCTCGTTGACAGTAATGCCTGACACAAAATATCTGCTCCACATAGCGTGGAAGCAGATACCTTGATCCGTGATTTCTTTCTGCTGCAGCTTTAAAGGAAACCTGCAGTTTGGGAATAACATGACCTCGGCTTCCTCAGCATGAGCAATATTGTGCCACAATAGCCTCCAAAACCGACTTCGTATCTATAGCGATTCCCTTTGAGAGTCTGTCACATCCTTTGTGCTCTCTCGCAGGGCCCCCGTCTGCATGCCAGCTGACCTCAATTTTGCCAAGAGACCTGTTTGAGTAATGCAGTCAAGAGTTTCTAAAGATCAGAGTGTTTAAGAAGGATGAGCTGTACATCACTAAACACATTCCTCCAGTGTCCTAGAACGAGCGTGTGTGTGTTTGCCTGTGATTTAGATCAGCTGCTTTTATTAAACTGGCCTAATTCCAAGCCTGGGCAATGGTCGCCATGAAAGGCAAAGCAGCGCAACCAGCCTGCTGCTTTCTGTGTGGGAATCAGAGCTTTTCCTTTTCCTAATGACCTTAACTTGACTTTACCTGATTCATCGTAACTTTAATGGGTGTTACAGGTGTGTAATATTATTCAAACCATTGAGTAAAGGACAATTCATTATACCTCTGCTCTCCAGTCTAAATGAACGCTACAAATAGTAAAAGATCAAGGCTCATGTTTTCCATTATAAAGAATTATGTTTGTCTTCACTTGGTAGAAGCTGAGTGAGTGTGACATAAGAAGGTCAAACGGAGATGTTTCAGTGTGGTTCTGATTGTTGTCTGTATCGCCCTCTATAGGCTACAGTGTTCATCTACACAGATCTGATGCTGTTGACCAGGGAAGATGAACCGGGCCGCTGTAATGTTCTACAGAGTCCACTTTATCTCCATGAGATACAGCTGCAGGACGGTATGTACTATTTTCCACTAACTCTGTGTAGAAGACTTTGTATTATGTTTTTTGTCCAGCTATGATAGCTGTTTTTGGAGTACTGCATATTGTTTTATTTTTTTTTTACTGTGCATGTTTGAAAATTGTGTATACATATTATGCATCATAATATATGATATATAGCATATATATATATATATATATACAGTGGGTACGGAAAGTATTCAGACCCCCTTAAATTTTTCACTCTTTGTTATATTGCAGCCATTTGCTAAAATCATTTAAGTTAATTTTTTTTCCTCATTAATGTACACACAGCACCCCATATTGACAGAAAAACACAGAATTGTTGACATTTTTGCAGATTTATTAAAAAAGAAAAACTGAAACATCACATGGTCCTAAGTATTCAGACCCTTTCCTCAGTATTTAGTAGAAGCACCCTTTTGATCTAACACAGCCATGAGTCTTTTTGGGAAAGATGCAACAAGGTTATATCCACTGGATTTGGGGATCCTCTGCCATTCCCTCTTGCAGATCCACTCCAGTTCTGTCAGGTTGGATGGTAAACGTAGGTGGACAGCCATTTTTAGGTCTCTCCAGAGATGCTCAATTGGGTTTAAGTCAGGGCTCTGGCTGGGCCATTCAAGAACAGTCACAGAGTTGTTGTGAAGCCACTCCTTCGTTATTTTAGCTGTGTGCTTAGGGTCATTGTCTTGTTGGAAGGTAAACCTTAGTTCCAGTCTGAGGTCCTGAGCACTCTGGAGAAGGTTTTCATCCAGGATATCCCTGTACTTGGCCGCATTCATCTTTCCCTCAATTGCAACCAGTCGTCCTGTCCCTGCAGCTGAAAAACACCCCCACAGCATGATGCTGCCACCACCATGCTTCACTGTTGGGACTGTATTGGACAGGTGCCTGGTTTTCTCCACACATACCGCTTAGAATTAAGGCCAAAAAGTTATATCTTGGTCTCATCAGACCAGAGAATCTTATTTCTCACCATCTTGGAGTCCTTCAGATGTTTTTTAGCAAACTCCATGCGGGCTTTCATGTGTCTTGAAGTACCCACTGTATATATATATATATATATATATATATATATAATATGCTATATATATAATAATATATATATAATATTAGTGTCAGACTTGTGTTCCCGTTTTGTTGTTGTTTTCCTCCCTATGTGCTCCTAGTTCTCCCTCGTGTTTCCTTATGCCCATATTTGGTTATGTTCCTGTCCTCCTTATTTCATTATGAGTTCTTTAGTCTCCACCTGTGTTTGTTTATTTGATTCAGGTGTGTTTAATTTAGTCCCTTGTTAAGTCTTGTATTTAATGTGTAGTCTGCCCAATGTTTCTTTGTCAAGTCTAAACGTCATTCCATGTTTGTTCTCCTGATGTTAGTGTTCATTTCCTTTGGTTTCTTTTTTAAAAGTCTATTTTGTGGAAGTCATCTCCTCGTCACCTTGTTTCCCTCCATCGTACCGTGACAGAAGACTCAACCTAGACAGAAAAGTAAGCGGCGTTTTTCTGATTGTTTCTCCCCGCGGCATGGAAGTAGCCGCTCGCTTCTCCGCCCTTGCCCACCAAGATCTCCCTTTCGTGGAGTATGCATGGGAGTTTTGCGGGATCGCCGCGAGTACAGCGCTGGACGACGCCACGCTCCACTCTCTGTTCTGGATCGGGGCCATGGCCTTCTGAACTGCCTGCTCCGCCATGGCCTCCTGAACTGTCTGATCTGCCATGGCTCCCCGAGCTGCCTGTATATCAATATTTTAATACTTTATAATTTATGAGTAAATTACATTCCACTCACTGAGAAGTTCATACAGTAATTAAAATAACACTGTATTCGTCCGGTACATATGTGTCTTTAAAATAATAATTTTCTTCAAAAATAATTGTCTTTAAAAAGAAATACTTATTTATTATGCTCTTAATAATACCATTACAATAATGTTGCTGGATAAAAGCTATACAAGATTTTAAAAAAGCATGCACATATACTTTCACTGGAAAACATATGGCATAATGTGCAAATCATGACTGGTTTGTTCGATGCTTATTATCCATCACAAAAAAAATTGGCATCTATGGGATATTTAAATGAGCAGTATTCAAATAAACAATGTTTAATACATCACAGATAAGTTTGCAAGGAACATAAAGCACATGTGCATGATCAACAAACATAGTGACAATGCAGCTTTGGCCTGACAGAACAAGTTTTATTTCTGTCAGCTATCGCAAAACTCTTAAACTGGCCCTGGGCCATCCAGCTATTCTTGTTGTTGAGCCCTGCAATGTGTTGCTGCGTTTTAGAGTGAGAGCAAAGGCAGTGCTATTGCCTGGTTTACATCTGCTTAAGATAAACATCCTGAAGTCTGTCTGTCTGTCTATCCATCTTTCCATCCATCTAGATATCTAGCTAGCTGTCTGTCAGTCTGTTTATCACTCTATCAATCTGTCAGTCTGTCTTACTGATTCAGTCTATCTGTGTATCATCTCTCTGGGTTGATTGTTTAGAGTAGAGGGGATGTTAAAGAAGGTCCACCCTGTGTTATTTGTGACTGTGTGTTAGTAACGATAGTCAGGAAGGAGGCGTCAGGACTGTGGGAATGAGTATGTGTGTGTCATGAGAGCGTAGCTCTCCTCACTCTCTGTGTCTGCTGGGAACAATGGCCGTGTCTCCGGTATGGCCCATTATAAGCAGGGCGGGCGGGACAGTGTATTCTTTACCTTCCTGAGAACAGAAATACTGCAGCATGTGGCACAGAGGGCAATTCTATCTTCAGCCTTTATTTGACATCTCTTTTTCTGAAATAGCCATCACTGTGCTGACCTTTGTCCTTTCGGATATGAAGTTAGTTGTATAGGCGAGGCACTTGACTTTGCAGTTAAAGTCCATTATTGGAAAAAAACGGGTCAAAACGTGCAGAGAGGGGCCAAATATCACAATATTGGCTTCCCAGGACCAACAGGAATAGGATTTTAGCTTACTCTACCCCTCCCAGAAACTATTTAATATATATAATTTTTGGTAACAATTTACTTAAAGCCTTTATGTATAATGCATTTTAAAAGTAGTTTTAATGCGATAATTATGGCTTGTAATGCACCGTATAATGCATTGTACAATCTCATTATTACTTGTAAACACAGTTAATGCATTATAACGCTCATCAATTCATTGTTACACTATGCATTTTAAATATGGTTATAATTATCTATGGCAAGAAATAATGTATTACAACGCACATTATGAATAATTATAATGCATTATAATAACCCTATATAATGTGTTATACATAAAGGCTTTAAAGGGGTCCTATTATGCTCTTTTACAAAGTCTTGATTTTGTTTTGGGGGTGTACTAGAACAGGCTCTCATACTAGGTTGTTCGAAAAACACATTATTTTTGACATATTTTACATTATTACAACACCTCTCTCCCCAGTCTGGCATGAACGTCTCGAATAGTTCCTGTATCAAATGAAAGCCCGCCTTCTGAAATACGAAATGTGCTGTAATTGGTTAGCTGGGTGTTAAATAAAATATCTCCTTTTGAAGTGGACTTTGAGCTTTGTAACTTTGCAGATCGTTTTTTATGCTCAAACAGCAACATTACAGACTAACTAAATTTGAAAAAGTGAAAAAGCATAATAGGACCCCTTTAAATGTTACCTAATTTTTTTATAGATATAAATATTATATTATATTTTAGATTTTTTTGCACCCTCAGATTCCAGATTTTCAAATAGTTGTATCTCAGCCAAATATTGTCCTATCCAAATATTGTCCTAACAAATCATACATCAATGGAAAGCTTATTTATTCAGATTTCAGATGATGTATAAATCTCAATTTCGAAAAATTGACCCTTATATTTAGTATTATTTATATACTATTATAGTGTTTATTAAATTTTAGTAATTTTGTTATGTGCTTTTTACATGTTTGTTTTAGCTTTAACTTATTTTAATTTCAGTTTTAGTTTTTCAGAACTTTAGTGTTTCGATTTAAACTAAGCTGAGGCAACATTTCTATTTTTACATTTTTAAGTTTAAGTTTTTCATCTAATATTTATATTTTATTTTATTTCAGCTATATTTCAATTAATGAAAACAATGTTCATGTAAATATGAAGTTTTGGTAACACTTTACAAGAAGGTTCATTAGTTAACATTAGTTAACAACATTAGTTAACATGAACTAAGAATGAACAATACTTCTACAGCATTCATTAATTTTAGTTAATGCTAATTTCAGCATTTACTAACACATTATTAAAATCACAAGTTGTGTTTGTTAACATTAGTTAATGCACTGTGAGCTAACATGAACTAACAATGAATGATTGTATTTTTATTAACTAACATTAACAAAGATAAATAAATACTGTAATAAATGCATTGTTCATTGTGTGTTCATGTTAGTTAATACATTAACTCATGTTAACAAATGACACCTTATTGTGAAGTGTTACCAAAGTTTTTATAAATATAAAAATCTGAACATATCCTTGTAATGTCTTATAGTCCTTGTTTTAAGTACATTTGAATAGCACTCTGTTTATGCAGTGCACATATGGGTGACATATATCTGAGTACATGTGGGTGTTCACATCCCCCAGAGTTAGAAAAAAAAAACCCTGACAGCCTCGGGATGAAGAAATTCACACTTCTGTCTTCTTCTCTCCAGTTCCTGCAGACAAACTGCGGCTGTACATCTCCTACTGGATAGAGGTGAGATCCTGCATCTAACCACCGACCCACTCGTTCAGCGCAGATCTCTGCTCACAGCACATCATGCTTAACACTGTGCTCTGCACTACAAATCACGTGCGATGTATGTGTTTCCTATCGAAGCGTTGACCCGACAGGATGGCCCTGTGGTAAACATTTACAGGATGTAAATGTTGTGCGGCTGTTAAATGGAGGGCCTCTTGTGTCTGGGGTTTACATCACATATTAGAGCCTTAAAAGCTGCTCTTTCTCTCGAGAGTAAACGTGCCTGAAAGACGTAGCCTTCTCACTCGAGCAAACACAGTCATCGACCCAGCCATCTGCCCATCTCCCTGACAACACCTCACACATACACACACACACATTGACATGAATGTGTGAGTGAGTATGATTGCATCTCTCATATGCCGTTCTCCTGCATAACAGCGCATGACACTGAGGTTTCTTTAGAGAGATGGTCTTGTATAGGTGGAACATCCTCGCATTATAAAAATGTTTGAGTCCTTCTTGTTCCTCAGATTAATAAGACTGTGATGTGTAATTCTGTCCTTTTTCTCACACACACACACACACATTATTTCATAATCACTCCCTCAATGTGGCTTTGTGTGTCTCTGCAGAGGACCGAATGTCTGTTCAGCCTGGAAGCCTTTTCATCCGAGCAGAAGAGGAGGGTCGTTCAGTGTCTGAGAGACAATATTGACAAGCAGCTCGCCCTGAGGGACAGAATAGTCCCTGACCAGGTACTAAATCAAACACAAGCGCACTCGCTCGCAAAAACACCCACTTGGGTCTTGCTTTTAACCACAGCATCATGTCTGTATTTCTTAAGCAGTTATGGAGTATTATCGCTCAGGAGAGGTAGGGCTTTATATACAGGACTCACATCTGCAAAATGACCTTGAATTTCAAGAGCTTTATCTGTATTTAATTTCTCTCTCTTGCTCTTTCTATAAAGTTAGCATGAAACATATTATGCTTCTGTAATGTGAGGTATCCTTAGTGAAACGGGATATTCAATGAAAAAAAAATGTAGGACGGTACTTCTTTTTATCCATTAGGAACTGATTGGTTCAAGAAAAGTCTATGTGGTTGCAGGGCAGAGGTTGAAAATAAAAGGTTTTGATTACATCGGCTGAAAAGGAAAATCGTTTCAGAGGTGGAGCAAATTATTGCAGTTTTTATAAAAGATTGTGCAAACAAAATATACAGTCAAACAAAAAATTATTCAGACACCAGATATCATTTTTTAATTTTTTTTACTAGTGGGTGCAGGACACTATAGTTCATCTATGTAAGTGATGATAACAAAATAAAGTGAACTGTGACATATTATACCCAAAAATTCTTCATTTTTTACACCACAGACTGAACAAAATTAAGCATTGCTTGGTAATTGGTTGTGTATATATATATATATATATATATATTTGTAGACACTGTAGACCAGGGGTCTGCAACCTTCAACATCAAAAGAGCCATTTTGGCCCCTTTCCCACTGAATAAAATTCATGTGGAGCCACAAAACCTATTTGATCCCTAAAATGAAGATAACACAGCATATAGCTAAAGTTTTATATTCAGTTATGTTACAGGGCAGGGGCGTAGCAATAATTTCAGAAGTGAGGGGGACAGAAATGTCAAATGTAATAATAATAATAATATTTATGTATGTTTGTCTATTTATGTAACTTTTTCTTATGTCTTACTTTTAACTGGCTAAGAAATAAAATACACTGCTGGACAATAACCAATAATTTATATTCTATAATATTTTTGATACATATTTTCCTAATTACAGTTTTATGATTATGATTGTTTTATATGCTACAAACACTTTTTCCATTTTTAAATAATAAGTCCTTATATAAATATATTTTATAGCTTCTGTACTGTAATATATGTTATGTCAGTTAGCACTGTATCATTCATATACTTTATTACCTGGAGAAGACTTGAAAAACACACATAAATCATATATTGTCGCAATTGTTTATTGTCTTCACGTTTCATTAGTTATGGTTTATGCTTGTTATTCAGCTTAGCTACAGCGATCGCTGGATGCCTTTGGATTTCCTGCAGGTCAAAAGTTATTACTACTTCTATAAGTCCGTTTTGGACTTTCTGTGCGAGAGCGCCCTCCGGCTTCGAGTATGAATGAAACATACACTGCAGGAGAGTGTTGAGCAACGTTCACAACGTTTTTGGATACGAATAAAACGTATCCAAAACGATGTGACTATCTTATCTCTTTTAATTTGAATCTAAATTTATTCACACTGGCACTTGAAAACGTCTGCGTGAACACACTTGCCCGAAAAAAGTGCAAGGGAAGAGTTTAGGTTTTATTGAAAGTCTGGGGAACACGTCTCCCGCGTATTCTATGCCCATGCTACCAATCTCCATGCTACAGGGAGCCACCACGGAGGGGTGAAAGAGCCGCGGGTTGCCGACTCCTGCTGTAGACAGATATTTTGTAAAAAACAAAATGCAAGTGAGTTTAATAAGTCAGAGTCATGAACCGTGATTTGCTAGACGGTAGAGATGCTAGAGAGAATCTGATTGGATAAAAATCTGTGTAGTGCAACTGTGTAGTGTTTTCCCTGTAAACTGTAAATTTTAAATGAGTAAAACAAAGTCATTTTCATCAACATTTGGGAGTACAGGAGCATATAAATGGTTTTGAAGCTAAAAGACCACTACTAAATACCACAAAATTTATTTTGAGTTCATGGAGTCTTTAAGAACGTAAATACGGCCAATTATGATTTTGTGATCATCTTCAGCAGACTGTAATGTGACAGATGCTCGCTCCACTTCATACAGTGCACGTACGAGTTAAGCATAATGTTTATTCCTCTGTTTCTTATTCATGCTCTCTCTCACTTTCTCCACTCGGTGGGCGAGTGACCTCAGGAGAGCAGCGACATCATCATCAGACTAGCACAAACAGACACGCGCATGTAGCGGCGTGAAAGAGAGGGAGAGAGAAAGAGAGTGTAGAGAGAGAGAAAACAGGGCTGTTGTAATGCATGCTAGTATGATGGAGGACTACATTACTTGCTTGTAAGGATAAAACATTACGAAGGTGAGGTCATTTACATGTTGCTTTCTGCATGTTCTGTGTGTGCCTTGTGCTTTTGCAGTGTGACTGGTGGGAAATAGTGTTTTTTCATCTATAGCACCTTCAGTGTGATCTGATTGGCATAAAGCTGTGTGTGTGTGTAAATGTTGGATGTATGAATTTTGAAATATTTAAGTTTGAAAATGCATTGTATCTTAACAAGATATAAAACGTGACTATAGTGTTGAAGTTGAAAAGTAAAATATTTTATGTTATTATCTAATGATCTTGGTTATTGCACAAAGTGTTTACCATATACTTGAGTGAGCATCATATAGGACTTCTGGCATTCTATCTACTCATATCAGTCATTTTTGTTTGCCTCCTTGTATCAGATCTTCTGTGCTGTGTCTTTAAAGAGCAGCAGAGCTGTCAGTCGCACTGCCAGCAAACTACTTTATGAACTGATTAGATGTGTAGGGCGCATGAATACATTACCCTTTTCCTCTAAGATAGGGAGACATAAAATACAATTTTCATGTTTTTTTCTCTTTCATTTTCTTTTTCTGCCTTTCCATTTCCTCTCTACCTGTCCCCCCGGTACATTAGAAAACAGTACTGAATATAATGGAGTATTGCAGAGTTGATGTGTTCTCTTTTTTTTTTTCTTTTTTCATTTATTCATTCATAATGTAGTTTATTTATTTAGGTAGTTGGTTTTATATTGTTTCTACTTTTCTTAAGCTTTTAGCTCTTACATTCGGTTGACTTGATATATGTGTAAAAATAATAACAGTATTTTCAAAACAATTATTTTCTTATTTTAATCTATTTAGTCTAAAATAAGAAAAACCCAATATCAAGATTTTTTAAGCCATTCTAATAACAGTGTTTGCTGGGAATCAGTTTTACCCCAGTAAATAAATAAATAAAATAAACAAATAACATGACAAAATTGATTGCAATTCATGTTTGATATCTCTGATGCTAACCCTGCAACAACATATAAAACGACCAAATTTTGCTTAATCGCAACATTTAATTGCAATTGCAAAGTTTAATCGCAACATATAATCATTGCAGTTAATAGTGTTCACCGTCTGTTTGATTACATGTAATTTGTAACTAACTGCATGATTCTTACTATACAATTCTGCCAAAGTCACCACTAATAACCTACTCCTAAATATAATGTAGAAACGTAAACTTTTCTGTAAAGCTGATTTGCAACGATTTGTATCGTGAAAAGCGCTATACAAGTAAACTTGAATTGAATTGAATTAATGTATTTTTTAAATCAAACATGATGGGAAGTGTGGCTTTTTAAATGATGAGCAATGATTTATTTACAGTGTTTGTGAATGAATTTAATTATTTACTAAATGACTTGGCATAGGCTATAATTCAGTTGCAGTTTTAATGATGCATAATTCTGTGTTTTCCCCATTTACTTAAGGTATGTAAATGTATATATAATTATGTGTATAAATTATTTTAAATACAGTAAATTTTTAATAATGTTAATAAAATGTATTTATTATTTGCTATGTATCTTGTTTTTCATTTACTTAAAAATACATTATTTTTATGTACATACATTTAAGACTATGCTTTAGTGATTTTACATTGGATACACAAGTGTCAAGAGCGGAGAGCTTCTTTTTATGCTATTGTTTGTGCAAAATGGTATTCATGTTTTTCATCAACAGCTTTTCTTCAGTCTTTATAGCCATACAGCAGTTGGCAATTGTTAAATCCAGAGCCATTTGTAAAATGTTGATTTCAATTGTGTATTGACAGATGCTGGAACCAAAAGCAGCTGAACAGGCTGCTGATCTGGGTCTGCTCGGCTTCAGCCCTCACAGTGTGTCTGAGCCCTGTTCCCCATCATGCCCCTCTGCATCGCCCATCATGAGAAGAACCAACTGCAGCTCTCCAGCTCAGCGGCTCTCCTACCCAGACCTGCACTGCAGCACTGGAGACGCCAACCAAACCGCTCCGACCTCTCGAGACGCCTGCAAACCTCAATACCTGGAGACCTCCGAGATCTGGAAGGACAGACAGAAGGTTGTGAAAGGAGGTGGCCAAGAGTCAGAACTGGAGAAAAGGGAGCAGGGGGAGGGCGAGAGCGCTTCCGAGACCATCAGCATTGGCGCCAGACTCACATCTTCATCGTCATCTTCCTCACCTCTAGTCATTCCTAGGCTGTGCCTGGATCGCTCCTTCAACGCAGATGCTTTGACCTCACCGTCGACTGACGATGATGATGAGGAGGAAGATGATGAGGACAGCGATGAAGGCTTTCTGAAGCGGAGGAGTATGGTGGAGTCATCTCCTAGCAGTGGGCAGCAGAGCGGGGGCTTGTGTGTGCAGAGGTCCCTCCACAGACGGACGCACAGCGAGGGCAGTTTGCTGCAGGAGCCTCGGTCTCCTCGCTTCATCTCCGATCAGGCCATCGACTGCATAGAGGCCAAGCGGGAACCTTCGGAGCGCTGGGCGGTTCCCTCGCCACAGACCCTGAGGAAAGAGCTCACCAAGAACGGAGGATCCATCCACCAGATCTGTCTGCTCTTCACTGGAAGGAGGGTGTGTACAAATTCGTCTGTATTAAATTACAAATACCACGATTTATTTGATGTCACTAGAATTAAATATGGTCAAATATGTCTTTTGTTTAAAAACTCGATGATACACATTCGAAAATAATTGAATTAGTAGCTGAATTTAGTTTCATTCAAAATACGTCGTTTGTAACTCTTCCACAGGTTTGTGGCAAGCCAAACTGTAAATGCGACACAGGAAAAACTGGTGTCAAAAAGAAGAAAACCAAGAATCTGTGAGTCAAACCATTTTCTACTACTTCATTTGCAATTTTATGGAGTGAATCTCATTGCTGTCAATGACAGGTTGGGGACATATTTCACCCCCAAACCAAGATTTTTTTTAATTATTATTTTGCAATTAAGAAAAAAAAAGCCTATTTGGAGCACCATTACATTTTTGCATTGTAACATTGTTTTCATGACAGTGAAGCTGAAAATCTCATTGTCATTACTACATTATCAAAAATGTTTTATCAGGGGATCAGAATGAGCTTTATTGCCAGGTATGTTTACACACCGGCAGACTCAACGCGCTGTCCGGAATGGCGTCTTTCAGCCAGGTTTCCGTGAAACACAGAGCAGCAGAGTTTGAAAAATCCTTATTTGTCCGGGAGAGCAGAAGAAGTTCGTCCGTTTTGTTGGGTAGAGAGCGGAGATTTGCCAGATGGATGCTTGGCAACGGCATTCTGAATCCGGCGTTCAAAAACATAAAAACAACTGCGGAGCACGCCACGGAGGCAGCCATCAGCGTCGGCGCCATCTTACATACGATTCATGTCGTAGCATCAGATTTTACTGTCTCAAAGCAACAAAAACAAGTCAAAGGAATGATTCAATATGGCAATATGACTAACGTCTTGACGCCATTAGGTTATATGAACAAAAGTCATTTCGCATTATAGTAATGAGAATTATCATAAAAATGCCTCATTATCATGAAAATAATGTAACAATAAAAAAACTTAATGGCCCTACAAATAGGCTCAATTTTTTTCCACACAAAATATCATTTCTTGTTTGTTTGTTTTTTCTTTTGATATTAGGTTCATCTGGACTATTTATTATTTGCTCTGTATCATGTTTTTCATTTACATTAAAATACAGTATACAGTGTTCCTTTTTTTATTGAAATCGGAATGTTCCTACAAATAAGCTTAAAGGAATAGTTCCCCTCAAAATTTACTCACCCTCAGGCCATCCAAGATAGATGAGTTTGTTCATTGGAACAGATCTGCAGAAATGCAGCATTATATCACTTGCTCTCCAATAGATCCTCTGCAGTGAATGGGTGCCACAGAGTCCGGGTGTTGTTGTTTTGTGTCTGTGATCTTATCAGCGAGTTTCTGTAAAGCGGAGCTCACGTGTGCTTGCGGAGGAATGTACACACTTACGAGAATGAACGAGCAAAACTCCCGCGGCGAATAGAACGGCTTACAGTTAATGAAGAGCACTTCTAGATCTGAACAGCACATCTTCTTTAACACAGTTACATCTGTACACCACCTCTCATTGATGTAAAAGCATGTCCCGCCGCCGCGCGATTTCCCCGTTGATTCTGCGTCGCGATCTGCTCTAAACAGCTGAAAGCCCGGCAGACTCAACGCGCTGTCCGGAATGGCGTCTTTCAGCCAGGTTTCCGTGAAACACAGAGCAGCAGAGTTTGAAAAATCCTTATTTGTCCGGGAGAGCAGAAGAAGTTCGTCCGTTTTGTTGGGTAGAGAGCGGAGATTTGCCAGATGGATGCTTGGCAACGGCGTTCTGAATCCGGCGTTCAAAAACATAAAAACAACTGCGGAGCACGCCACGGAGGCAGCCATCAGCGTCGGCGCCATCTTACATACGATTCATGTCGTAGCATCAGATTTTACTGTCTCAAAGCAACAAAAACAAGTCAAAGGAATGATTCAATATGGCAATATGACTAACGTCTTGACGCCATTAGGTTATATGAACAAAAGTCATTTCGCATTATAGTAATGAGAATTATCATAAAAATGCCTCATTATCATGAAAATAATGTAACAATAAAAAAACTTAATGGCCCTACAAATAGGCTCAATTTTTTTCCACACAAAATATCATTTCTTGTTTGTTTGTTTTTTCTTTTGATATTAGGTTCATCTGGACTATTTATTATTTGCTCTGTATCATGTTTTTCATTTACATTAAAATACAGTATACAGTGTTCCTTTTTTTATTGAAATCGGAATGTTCCTACAAATAAGCTTAAAGGAATAGTTCCCCTCAAAATTTACTCACCCTCAGGCCATCCAAGATAGATGAGTTTGTTCATTGGAACAGATCTGCAGAAATGCAGCATTATATCACTTGCTCTCCAATAGATCCTCTGCAGTGAATGGGTGCCGTCAGAATGAGAGTCCAAACAGCTGATAAAAAACATCACTGTAATCCACAAGTATTCCACACAAGTCCAGTTCATCAATTAACATCTTGTAAACTAAGCTGCATGTTTGTAATACATTTTCAAACAGTTGCTTCAAGCTAAAATATGAGTCTTCTATCCATAATATTGCTTTCTCCTTAAAGGGTTACTCCACCCCAAAATGAAAAATTTGTCATTAATCACTTACCCCCATGTCGTTCCAAACCCGTAAAAGCTTCGTTCGTCTTCGGAACACAATTTAAGATATTTTGGATGAAAACCGGGAGGCTTGTAGTAGCGCCATTTTGGAGAGTATCCACTGAACGTAAACTGCGTATACTGTTTTACTTGTCTGTGTCAGCCGCACCACACGGATACGTTTTCTACATTTATTTACGCTTTGATTTGAACGAAAACTGCGTATCCGTGTGGTGCGGCTGACACAGATCAGCATACGCAGTGAATATCCTCAGTGAATACTCTCCAAAATGGCGCTACGGTGGAGGACGAATTGTTGAATAAAGTAGTTATTTTTGTTTTCTTTGCGTACAAAAAGTATTCTCATCGCTTCACGAAATTCAGATTGAACCACTGATGGCAGA